AGTTATGAAAACAGAACAGAACCATCTCTCCAATCTGGAGCAGAATGACACCATCAGAACTTTTTTGCATCAGAAAACATTTAATTTAAAGTTTCATCATTACATCTTTTACAGCTACTGTCCACCAGGTGGCAGCAGTTAGTCCATCTCATCATCACTGGTATTTGATTTGATCAGAACCAGCAGGTTCTGGTTCTGGTTCGTCTCATTCTGGGTTTATTCTGTAGATTTCAGGAAGAATTTCTCATTTGATTTGGTTACTATGGAAACAAGAACAAATCCCTCCAAAATAAAAGCCTTTAATCAGTCTTTAAAGCTGCTGAATTGATCCGGAACACGGCGGTTCTGATGTTTTCATAGGAGCAGGGCTGATTGTTCTGGTTCCAGTTTTTCAGAACCTGCGGCGCCGACCCGGTCACATCCAGCCTCTCATCTCCTCCCCAGAACCAGCCTGGTTCTGATCACCTTGGGGACGTGTCTGATGGTGAGGGACACCCGGGTTCCCCTGAGCAGCGTCTCCCCGGACCGGGCCTGGGCGGCGGACAGGTTCAGGACCTGCCGGGTCAGCGTGTCCCGGTCCCGCTCCTGGATGCCGTGCTGCAGGTTCTGGTACATGTCGTCCTGCAGGACCAGCAGGCTGCGCGGCCTCAGCAGCAGGGAGAACAGGTAGCGGTTCTGCTGGGTCTGTGGCTCCGCCCCTTCCAGGCCGCTGACGGGCCGGTAGAAGTCCAGCAGGGTGTGTGAGCCCAGGCTGACGGTGCTGACGGTGGGGTGGTACAGCGGGCCGTCCTGGTGGGGCATGATGCCCTGGCCCGGTCCGTACTCGTTCACCAGAACGTGGTTGGCCCGGTTCCCCCCGAAGGCGCCCAGGGAGGAGATCTTCTCGCAGAGGTTCTGCAGCCAGTCCGGAACCTCCTCCGCCATCATGCCTCTGGGATGCGGCAGCCCGCCCCAGTTCTGGAGCCGCCGACCCGACAGCTGGGTCCATTTGGTTCTGGGGGAGCGGTAGACCCGCTCCAGAAGGAAGGACTCCTCCTCCGGCGATACGAAGTCCGGGACGTAAAACACCGTTTGTGGAGCTTCAGGGACCCGGAACCGCTCCAGATCCTCCAGAACCGGACCGGGACGCTGCATGGCTCCTTTGGGAGAGGCGACACAGAACCAGAATTAACGAAGAGTTCTGAACAGAACCTAAAGCAAAGCGGGTCTCTGCTGGACTGCTGCTTGGTTCCGGTCCGGTAGAGGACTCAGAACCTCAGCATGACATCAGAAGACCCGCCCCCTAAGGTCCGGTGTCTGACCCCCTTCCTCTGCCGGTTCTGGTCCAGTTCAGCTTCCTACCAGGCTGAATTAGTAGATCGCCATGGTAATGGCAGCACAGTGGGCCAGAGGTTCTGTAGAACACGGAGGTCCGGCTCAGCAGACCCACTTCTCTGGGTCAGAAATCCTCTTCGTTGATCTGGTGTTCCTGGTTCTGATCCAGTTCTATAGATCCTGGAATAAATCGGATCATCAGAACCTTGCAATTCTGAGGCGGTTCTTAACAGAACCGTTTTCTGGGCTGATGGACGGAACCTTTGCTGATCCGGTTTTCATTCCTTCTCTTAAAATCTGTTTATAGTAACAGAACCTGCTCAGCTGAACAGAACCAGAACCTGCTGCTGTTAGAAGGTCCACAGCTGGAGGACTTCTGCTTTCCTGCAAACCTTTGGTTCTGTTTCTCATCTCGTCTGTAAACCAAAGAGCAGAACCGAGCCCACCTGGACCTCCAGGTGCTGAAAGAGCAGCGCTCCAACCTCAGGCTGCTGCAGAACCTTCTGGACCGACGTCAGGATGGTTGCAGGAAGTCCGACTCCCGTTCATTTGGAACGGAGCTTTGATCAGTTAATGAGACTAATTATTTATTTTCTTATTGTGTCATAATTTTCCTCTGTTATCCCTCAACTTGTCAGATTTAAGTTAATTTCAAAGTGACTCTTAGTTTATTTACTGTTCTTATTGTATTAAAAAATATTTAAAATCCTAATCCAGCAGCATCCTCATCCACATTTTCTGTTTGTTCATAATTTTAACCTTATGATAAATGTTTCCATTATTTATTGGATGCATCTAAAAATATCAAAGATATTTTCAATTTAAACATAGATATGAAATAATATAATAAAACTTACAATAACTTAAACGATGTCATTGAATTAGTTCATCAAATCAATTCAGTTTAATTATAAGCTGCCTGTAGTGTCTCTACATGTCCAGCAGGTGTCAGTATTCTGCCAGACAGAATCAATAGTTTGGGCTTAATATGCCCCATTAACCCATCAATAGACACGCCCTATTTAATTAGGCAAAAACAAACGCTTATAATAAAGATTTAGAAAATAAAACTATCGATATTCTCCAAAAAGTATTTTGAATAAAAGGATTTAAATACATTTAAAGGAGAGGCTTGTTTCCTGAACGGAAACGGGTCATTTAAAGCCGTTTTTAACCAGTTAGAGAATAAAACAAACATGTCTGACAACATCAGCTCCAAGTTTCAACATTTAGAAACACAAAAGTAAAGAAAAAGAAAAACTAACCTGACTGATTCCCCGATAGAAACACTGTTTATTGAATAGAAGCCGCGCTGAAGAGCTCCATCTGTGTGCAACCTTGAAAGGTGTTCGGGCTGCGCGAGAAAAGATCACTACGTTCCGCCGTAAGCTCCGTGTTTTCTCGCGTTGTTTTAACCGCCTGGAGCCGCGATGTTTCCCTCAAAGGTGAGGCTGCTGCGGTCCAAACACACCTTAGCCAGCAGGTTGGTTCTGGGCATCGAGACCAGCTGCGATGATACCGGAGCCGCTGTGATGGACGGAACCGGAACCATTCTGGGAGAATCCCTGCATTCTCAGAAAGAGGTCCATCTGAGGTGGGTGTCACACCGTTTACTGTCCGGGTCCAGCAGACATGGACGGGTGGAGGTTCTAGAACCCTGGTCCAAAACTAAAGTTATTTAATTCAGTCAGTTAGCTGATCTGGAGAACAATGTCAGGGTGGAAAGATAACAGCAGAATTTACAGTAGATGTGCATCAACAGCAGATGTCCGGCACAGCAGTGACGGTGTGATGATATGGGCTCTTTGCTCTCATCAGACTGAACTCTTTTAGAAACCAGAACACCATAGTGAAAAACCAGTTAGGATTCCAGAGACTAACTAGCTGTGCTGCTCTGTGGAGCATTAGAACAACATAGACCTACTGGTCTGAGGGTTAGGGTTACTAACCCTCTTCTCTTCCCATTGAGGAAGATTTTTCAATTGAAAATATCAGAAATAGCGCTGAGTTCCAGGTTTTATAGAGCGGACCAAACTTGTAACGGCTTAGAAAACATGCAGATTGAAACCTGAAAACCAGCTCCAGCCCTTAATAATGGGAATCAATGAGGTCATTATTGGCCTGAAATACCCGATACTGGTCCATTCCTCTGAAAGGCAGTCATTAAGGCTCATTGTTGGTCTGGCTGACCTGGAGAGATGTTTTCTTTCCCTGCATAGAGAATCAGATTTCAGCTCTCAAAAACCTACAATGCAGCAATAGAGTTGATTCCTTCCCAATACCATCTCATCCCTCATCGCTATGCAGGGGAACAAACATTACAAGGCTTTTGTTGGTCCACTGTATAAGACCTGAAACTCAACGCTATTTCTGACATTTTGAATAGAAAAAGAGTCCTGGATGGGAAGAGAAACGTCTTCAAACAAAGTCCAACCCTTTAATCTAGATTTAGCAGATCTAAAACCTGACAATCCAAAGTCTCCAGCTCAGTCAGATGAAGACATCAGGGTCCAAACGGGCCTGTGGGATGATCGGAACGTCTCTAAAGCACAGGCATAACTTTCTGAAGGACTGGTGTGGACATGTCCCCACTGACTTTGGCCTGGTGTGGACATGTCCCCACCGACTTTGGCCTGGTGTGGACATGTCCCCACCGACTTTGGCCTGGCGTGGACAGCCAGGTGTGGACAGACCCCACCTATAATCAAGTGAGAATGCATTGATGCATTGTTTTCCTTTTTGTTTTTTTCCGTCTCCAACCGGTCCTGCATACTTCAGCCGATTTCTACAGCCTTGGTATCAAAACCTTCAGCTTCTGCTGGAGGGTTATTCTATGTCTTTTGATTTTGATTTGATATTACGATTTTTGAAATATTAAGCTTTTTCTGGCCCAGAGAAATGAATGGAAAACTTCAAAAATTCCACTAAAAGTTCAGCTACTTTGCCCTTTTTTGTTTCCAAGTTTCGCTCATTTCTGTATTAACTTTCTCTCCATATTTTACATTACTTCAACTTGTCAACACTTTAATCAAGTTTCTTATGCAGCACTAAGCTGCTCATTCAATACCACATTCTTCAACGTTTTAACCAAACCTTTATTTCTTTAACCAGATAAGATACAAGTTTTTCCTGCAATTTTCTTTTCTGCTTCTGCTAATTTAATACATTTCAGCCTATATTTAAAAAAACTGGCTTAATTCAGCGATCTTTCTGGACAAACATTAAGCTTTTCTGTTTGCTGCTAATTCATAACATGTTTCTGCTGTCGGCTTCAGCTTTTTTCAATAAAGAAATGAAGCATTTATCTTTTCTGCTTTTTCAAGTCATCTCATTGGTTTCTGCCTTTTTAAGCTTACAGTTTAGCGTCCAGCATTCTCACAGCTGTTTCTCAGGAACAGCTAGTTTTCTACTTTCAATAGACTTTGGTTCTCAGCAATAAGTGGGACACATTTCTAAATTTGATTTTGATGCTTTTTAAGGAGGATAATCA